TAACTGGACTAGGCATGAAGAAGTTAAAGGACTTGTTCAAGACCATGGGGTTAGAAATGATAAGGCAAAGCAAAGATTCGAACCCAGCTCGCTTGAGAGAATCTGTTTTTAAACATTATTTTATACTGTTGCTCATTTCAGATCAAAAACTGTAACCAGTGAAAGGGCCAGAGCAGCGGGGAATATGTAACATCATACTCTAGTGCTAAGAGGGATAATATGGGAATACATGTAAGAAGTTCCCCCAGACTCCCCAAAACACAGAGTGTGGACATTTATAAATAGGCTGATATATTTCATTAGCAGGTCCAGGGAACAGAAGTTAAAACATAGGTTCCAAAACGAAGGTCAGTCTGAAACTTACCTGTCGCTGGACAAACATGGTCATCACCTTCTTTGCTTGCTCAAATGGGGATTCTTCACCAGGAATAGAGTTACTCATAGCAAAGCCTACATCCATACACAGAACAACAGCTGCCTAGAAATAAAATCCCCAAGAGTATATGAGAAAAGAACAATCATTAAAAAAATTTTTTTAAAAAAGATTCTGAGATATAGCCCTTGCTCACTGCACTCACAAAACCTGTGCTAGGGTTTAGGGGAGGCATGGTAAAGGGAGAACTGTGCTTTGGAGAAAGCTTACATAGTTCTGATACTCTCTAAAAGAAAGTACCACCAGAAGCAGAACGTGCTCCAGGCAGTTAGCATTTCTTCACCTGAGTTCCAGAATGGACCTGAAATAAACCAGCAAGCCACAGCAACTCCAGTCCCACCAAGCCAATATGCATCAAGATGAACTGCTGACCTCCCAGCATGAGTAGACTCTCGGGTTGAAAGTCATCAAATACAGTAGGGTGTGGTTGGTTACAAAGCATTTTTGCGGCAATAGGTTACTACTTCAATCTACATATGCTAAGATGGTATAACCCAACAATGTGAATCAAGTTTGTAAACTGGGGGCTGAAATAAAAACTAAGACACTAAATCTCTTCTAGTAGAGAACAAAGACACATAATAAATAATGCCAGAACAATATTACATGACAACAAGTTTGCAGGGGCTGGTGAGATGGCTCAGTGGTCTAAGGCACCTACTTAGAACAAGCTTAGCAAAGCACAGGGACCACGGTTCAATCCCCCAGCACCACATGCCAGCCAGCCCGCCCCCTGGTGGGCTGAGCTGGCCACACACACACAAAAAAAAAAATTTTTAAAAAATTAAAAAAAACAAAAAACAAGTTTGCAGTAGGTACTGAGACACCAGAGGAACATCAAACCAAGGCTGGCAGTGGGGGCAAAAGAGGGGTAAGGCAAAAAACGCTTCATAAATCTAATGTTTCCAAAGATTCATTCATCTGTTCATTGATGTATTTATACTCGTTCAACACAGATAAACAGAATAGAAGTTTGAGCAGCAGACTGCAAGTCCCTTTAACTCCCTGTTAGAAAATGCTGATCGAAGTTACGAACCTCCATCTAGTGACAAAAAAATCTTTTTAATTCATTGTAATTGTTAGGGCTGGGGAGATAGCTCAGTATAATAAGCACCTGCCTGGCAAGCGCAAGGTCCTGAGTTCAATCCCTGGTACCAGAAAAATAAAACAAAATAAATTTGTCATTGTAACTGTTATTAATCTAAAACACCAAAGGTCATAGATTCTTAACAACACAGAATTCTCCCAAGTCCTGGAAAACAAAACTCCATGGGTTCAAATCCGAATTCCATCACTTAAGGACTGGATGATTCTCCATCCCTTAGTCTTCCTATCTGCAAACTTGGAGACAATACAGACCTCACTAGGACAGGAATAAAAAATTTAGATCTGTGCCTCATACAGAGTAAGCTTTCAATAAATTCATAAAATTAAGTTATTACAGAGGTAGTAATGCGTTTTACATTTCAAGCTATTTGCTTACAAAATCCTTCCCTAACGTTTTACAACAAGACTGTGGGCTTAAAAGCAACAGAGCTGATGAGTTTGGGAACGGAGTGGAAGTAGGGGCCATGAAGGAGAGGGGATGGGGAGGCAGAGAGGGAGGGAGGCACAAGGAAACGCGACGGGTGCCGGGGGTGCAGGGTCCAAACTATACACTCCAAATTCCCAGGTTTTTTGATAGGCCCTCCTTTTCGGCCCTCTGGCTCCAGCCCACCACCGTGATCTTCCCTCTCGCCTCACTTCTCGGCATAGCTGTCACCCCACAATCCCTGCTACGAAACCACCCTTTCCAGAGCCCTGCATCGGGAAGACTCAAGAACTTGGTTCTCTCTACCTTATCTCCGGGCCGCGCCATGTTGCCAGCCGCGGGCGCTTCAGAAACGTCTTCCGGGTGGGGACCTGCAGCGCGCCGGCAACGCAGTTCCGGCCGACTCCCGCGCCCATCCCGGAGCAGAGCGGCTTCCGGCCGGACTTGCAAGGGGCGGGGCCGCTGTGCCCCGAGCTCTGAGCAGGCGCGGATTCTCTCCATTTCCCCCAGGTAAGGAGCTTGTGTTTGAGTCTATGAAACTGCAGCCGTAGGTTAATACTAATCCCTTTTTCCGAAAGCTGGGCTTCCCGTTGCTGTTATTGACAGTAACCCTTCTTTTGCGTTGGGTGTTAGCCCCCAGACCTCCTTGAGTATCAGCCCAGAGGATACCTGTCTCCTCTTCTGGTCTGTTTCTCCTACAGAGGGTGCTAAAGGAAGCCTTTACAGAGGCAGCGGCCTTAGCACCAGCTCACAGAGTTTGCAAGCAGACAGAAGCAGGAGGGGCCCTGCACTTTACCAAGAAAATGCATGTGAACACCTGGGAGTGAAGCAGCCTGTGCTGCAAAGTATCTGCAGGCCTTGACCCAATCTGGTGGAATAAAGTCCAGTCAGATGGTCTTCCTCTTGAAAATTGGATTGGGGGGCTGGTGAGATGGCTCAGTGGTCTAAAGCACCTACTTAAAACAAGCTTAGCAAAAAAGCACAGGGACCGCGGTT